TCAACTTCCTTTTTTATTTAATTTCCAAATAGATCATTAAGATATAGTGATTTCAGGATTGAACCTCCATTGTTAATTTTATGCAACTTTTATTTTTATTTTTATTCAACTTCCATTTTTATTCAAGTAATTTTTCTTTTCAACTTCCTTTTTTATTTAATTTCCAAATAGATCATTAAGATATAGTGATTTCAGGATTGAACCTCCATTGTTAATTTTATGCAACTTTTATTTTTATTTTTATTCAACTTCCATTTTTATTCAAGTAATTTTTCTTTTCAACTTCCTTTTTTATTTAATTTCCAAATAGATCATTAAGATATAGTGATTTCAGGATTGAACCTCCATTGTTAATTTTATGCAACTTTTATTTTTATTTTTATTCAACTTCCATTTTTATTCAAGTAATTTTTCTTTTCAACTTCCTTTTTTATTTAATTTCCAAATAGATCATTAAGATATAGTGATTTCAGGATTGAACCTCCATTGTTAATTTTATGCAACTTTTATTTTTATTTTTATTCAACTTCCATTTTTATTCAAGTAATTTTTCTTTTCAACTTCCTTTTTTATTTAATTTCCAAATAGATCATTAAGATATAGTGATTTCAGGATTGAACCTCCATTGTTAATTTTATGCAACTTTTATTTTTATTTTTATTCAACTTCCATTTTTATTCAAGTAATTTTTCTTTTCAACTTCCTTTTTTATTTAATTTCCAAATAGATCATTAAGATATAGTGATTTCAGGATTGAACCTCCATTGTTAATTTTATGCAACTTTTATTTTTATTTTTATTCAACTTCCATTTTTATTCAAGTAATTTTTCTATTCAACTTCCTTTTTTATTTAATTTCCAAATAGATCGTTATAGTATAGTGGTTTCTGGATTGAAGTTCCATTTTTAATTTTATGACACTTTCATTTTTATTTTTATTCAACTTCCATTTTCATTCAATTTACTTTTTTATTCAACTTCCTTTTTTATTTAATTTCCAAATAGATCGTTAAGGTATAGTGGTTTCTGGAAATAATAATTTAATCAAAATTAGGGAAAAATCTCCCTCTTTATCAAATATTATACCAAAGACCAAATTTCATCAATTCTTCTCAAGTAATAACATGTTCAAGACCCCTCATGCCCATAAGGAACCCAAATAGAAAACCCAGTTTTTTATATATATAGAAACCAAGTTCCATTTTTATTCAATTTACTTTTCTATTAAACTTCCTTTTTTATTTAATTTCCAAATAGATCGTTAAGGTATAGTGGTTTCTTGAATGAACTTCCACTTTTAAATTTCTGCAACTTCCATTTTAATTTTAATTCGACTTGTATTTTTATTCAGGTTATTTTTCCATTCAACTTCCTTTTTTATTTAATTTCCAAATAGATCGTTAAGGTATAGTGGTTTCTGGATTGAACTTCCATTTTTAATTTTATGCAACTTTCACTTTTATTTTTATTCAACTTCCATTTTTAATCAATTTACTTTTTTCTCAAACTTTCTTTTTTTATTTAATTTCCCAATAGATCGTTAAGGTATAGTGGTTTCTGGATTGAACTTCCGTTTTTAATTTTAAGGAACTTCCATTTTTATTTTTATTCAGCTTCCATTTTTATTCAAGTTATTTTTCTGTTCAACTTCCTTTTTTTATTTAATTTCCAAATAGATCGTTAAGGTATAGTGGTTTCTTGAATGAACTTCCATTTTTAATTTTCTGCAACTTTCATTTTATTTTTATTTAACTTCCTTTTTTATTCAAGTTTCTTTTCTACTCGACTTCTTTTTTTGTTTAATTTCCAAATAGATTATTATGGTATAGTGGTTTTTGGATTGAACTTCCATTGTTAATTTTAAGCAACTTTTATTTTTATTTTTATTCAATAGCTCCGAGTTCTGTTGATGATGATGAAGAGATATGATTGTTGTTGTTGTTGATATATATGTTAGATATATGTTGAAGAGGTCTGAATATGTGTTTGTTGACAAATCTGAGCTTAAATTGTTGTTGTATTTTATTTTTGTTGACAGATCTGAATATGATTGTTGTTGTTGTTGTATTTTATTTGAGCTCAAATTGTTGTTGCATTTTTTTTTTTAATTTTGGTCGGGGAATTTACGAGGTCGGGGAAACCCGATCCCCGTTAGGGGACGGGGTTGGGGGTGGTGAGAGACTCCCCGTCGGGGATCGGGACTGGGGACGGGGAAATTCCTATCATCGGGGATCGGGGACGGGGAGTGTGATTCCCGACCCCGCCCTGCCCCGTTGCCATTCCTAATGGCCAGTCGGCCACCAATGTAAGGGACCTCCAGATTTTCACCACCTGGCTTCCACTCACTGCCTTATCTTCTACAAAAGTGGAGACTTCATAGTTTTTTCATTCTAGTTCTGTTTTTGCTACGAATGGAGCCATTCTTTGCCAAAAAAACTCTCAAATTCGATTTCAACTCTAGATGGCTCGGAAAAAGTGAATTTCCGGGGTTTCGGGATAAATGCACTATTCCTGCTCAGTCATTCTCCACTTTGCTTTCCGTTCCTTCATGCCACAGCTTGGTATTGGAACCCGATTACGCACATGTTTAGCTTCGGGGGACAAGAGCTATGCCTGACAATCGAAGAATTTCAAGTGCTAATGGAGTACCGGCACATCCAAGCTTTGGGAAAAATGTGTGGGTTCACTTTACACGATGCTTGGTCCTTCATTCACAATGGAGAGCTAGATATCCCCAGCTTGATTCATCGATTTTCTAACGCCGGTGACCGAGCCGATCTTCTTTCGCGAGGTTTTCGACAACACGCGCTTTGTTTGTGCATGTTGACACGTTTCGTTCTTTCCCCTGGTTTCAGAGTATAACGACTCGGATTTTAAATTCACATTGGATTGATATATAGTGGTGCCTGTCACCTTAAAATTTGTATGGTTGTCGGACTCTTGATATTGATGGGTTGGCAAGTGAACTATAAATAGTATAATTGAGGACCCTTGGATGATGTTTGGAACCTTGATCGAAGCCTTAACAAGATATATAGATAAGATTAGATAAAAAGTCCCAAATTTGAGTTTGAATTTTTGACCAGCCGTCACTATTTTGCCCTTTTCTCCTTCCATACTTATAATTTGAATGTGAGGTTGGAACCATTGGAAAGCTTGTTTCCGGGGCTTCAATTTGAACACAAGAACAGCCTAGAAAGGAGTCCCGATGAGAGAGTTATACCCGTTTGAAGTTTCCACATCTGTGCTGAAAGCAGAGCCGCACGTGCGGGGAATAGCGCCGCACGTGCGGGCTGTGCGGGACAGCAGCTCAAAAACGTGATTTTTGGACCATTTCTTACATTTTCTTTTCCTCTCTTCTTCTCCCCTCTTTCATGTCCGAAAACTTAGCCCTAAAAACCTTGATTTCCTCCACTTTTATCAACAAATCAACCATGGATTTTGCATCAACAAAGAAGAACAAGTGAAGATCAACATTTTCAACCGATTGGATTTTGGAATTTTGAAGTGATGCTCTTGACCTAGCTTCCTTGCTTTCAATCTTGAGGTAGGGGTCCTAATTCTCCTTCAATTCTTACATAAATAGATAGATTTTTGGTATTTTGGAGTATATAAATGCAAAATCTACATTTTGGGCATATAGGGTTATATTATGGAAATTTGGGGATTTCGGATTTGAAGAATTTGGGGTTTTATTGTTGGGTTTAGATTATGGATTATGAACCTAGGATATGTAATCAAGGGGAAAATTGGTAGAAAAAATAATGGGTTAAGAAGTTTGAATTTTTCTTGAAATTTCTAGGTTTTTCTAGAAACCCTAGGTTGATTTTTGATGATAATCAATGATTTGGCCCAAATTGAAAGGTGAATCATGAAATTGGTAGTTTGAATTATCTATGTACAAGTTTAATTGGAATTTGGTTATGTTTGAAAATTATGTTTAAAATTTGCGAATGAATTTTGTTATGAGCAATGTAAATCATGTTATAATGAGAAGAAAATTAGAGGAAATGATTTATTAATGATATAGATGACATAAACTCGGTTATGAAATGTTGAAATGGAATTTAAGAATTCCTCTTGAATTATGTTAAATTATATTTAATGATGTTGAGTTGAATCATGTTGCTTATGTTGAATTGTAGTGATTATGTGAGATGGTATTGACTATGTTGACTTTGATTTTTGTGACCTAAAATGTGGAGTTTTCCAAAATGGGTTAATCTCAAATTATTTTGCTAAATACTTGTGGGCTTGCTTAGTTATTAAAATCAAGAGAATGATTTATTTTTGGAAAAATGTGGAAAATGTCCATACAATTCCTTCCTATCTTGAAATCGAGGTGATTGATTATAAATTCCATATTGTGTTTGCAAGAATGGTAATCTTCTGTTTCTATATATAGATATATTAAGATGGAGGAAATTGTGGTATAATGGATGGATAATGGTAAGCTTGTAAAGAATAATGAAGGAAGGAAAAAGAACTAATGACTAAGTTATATATGTGTACAGGGCACACTTCAGGAGGGCCAAGCACTCCGTTGTAGCACTGTGAGTAGTAGTACTTCGATGTATCTCTAACCGTTAATGATTATTGTTATTGACGTTATGATCTTCGTCATAAGAATTATGTTGACATGTATGTTATGTATGCTACGTAAATATTGTGAAATTATGGAAACATCAAAGGTGTATGCTATATGAGGAACATTGTGAAAATATGGAAACATCAAAAGGGATTTGTGAAATATGCATCTCGAATTTGTGAAGTAAGGATCACCAACTTGTGAAATATGAAACGATGTGGCCGAGGGCCATTTGTGAAGTATGAATTTCCGAATTGTGAATTGTGAAACTATGAAGCCAAGAGCCGAATTGTGAACCTATGAAACCCAAAAGCTAATTTATGTATATGTGAATTTATGAGGCCGGGGCCGACTTATGAATTTATGAGGCCCAGGGCCGACTTGTGAATTTATGTGGCCAGGGGCCATTTGTGAACTATGAACCTATGTGGCCAGGGGCCATTTGTGAAATTATGAAGCTATGAGGCCAAGGGCCAAACTTGTGAATTTGTGAATCCAAAGGGCCGAAGGACGATGTGATAAGTTGTGAATCTATGAAACCTAAAGGCTATCGTGAATGTGTGCACCCCTCAGGCCAAGGGCCGAACTGTGGAATCGTGAAACCGATAAAGTCATCTGTGATCTTATGAAAATGTGCTTACTTTGTCCTGTTAACTTTATGTTAATTATGTCAATTCGTGAGAATGATGTAACGGTTACCATTAGGACTCTATTAATTACAAGGCAAGGCAACTATGTTAACATATAAGAACGATTAAACAACGGTGTATACTATTGATTAGTAGAGCACGTGAATTAAGTCATTTACCCAAAAGAATTTATGTTCATTCTTGAAGAATGGATTCTGAGTAAATATAAGAGTAGCTATGTGTATCCATATGAATTTGAAGTTATTTTGTTAAGCGTACGATAATGACATGATACAACAAGAAACGCTCTAGTTATAATATGATCCGTTTGAATTAATGAATGATGTTCAAGTATGCTTAGGTATGTTTCAAGTATATGTTACAAGTTTGAATATACTACAAGGTCAAACAAGTTTCAAGGGCTTTATGCCAATGTTTCAAGGGCCTCGTGCCACCACATTTCAAGGGCTTATAGCCATCAAGTTTATGTTGCAAGATTGGGTCTAAGGCCGTTATGTACTTAGCACAGAATCAGACTATTGCATTGACATGTATTTTGTTTCAAGTTAAGCATCATTTTATTTATGTATTACTATTCACTGAGCCCGGCTCACTCTCCATTATGTCTGTTTTTGTAGGTCACCAATCAGGTGGTCTGTCCTAGCCAAGACGCCCGCTTTCTTTTGTCAACCTTCGTATGTCCAGGCACTATATAAGCCATTTATTTTGTCAAGTTGTCAAGATGTTGACTTGCTTATGGGTGTCCCTCTAAGGTTGTTGTATATACTTTCATGTTCGTTTTTTTTTTTCAAATCTGGCAAATCGTTTTGAGAAACAGATTTTTGAAAAAGTAGTGCCAAACATGGACTGCTTTGCCAGATACAGAGTCGCCACCTTTTGTATACGCCCAATCATGGCTGGTATTGTAAATGTGTATGTATATGCTCCGGGTTATAGTTGGAACTTTATCTATCCACTATAATGCATGTGATGAATGAATCCTAGCATATAGAAGTAGCTCAATGGAGTTTATTTGTTTCATTATTTCCATTTTTTTTCGTGCTTTCCGATAAGGCCCGCGTATGTTATGTTACCAGGTTACATGTCCGTTTCTGAATAGGTCATGTCCAAACTTTTAGGGGCGGGTTTGGGGCGTGACATGGAGGGTCTAGCATTCGACTTATCGAAGTGGCCCAAGGTTTGAAAAAGGGCAAGAGCTGCATGGGCTTGGTACTAGCTGAGACTTTAATAGGCTTAGACGCCTTCCATAGGCGAGAGGCAACCAATTTGCGAGAAGTCCACTACTTCTTCAGGTATATTTCCCACCCTTTCTAATATGTGTTTCTCATATCACTCAGCACTCGTGCTTTGTTTTTCTCTCAAAGTCCTTTTCTCACTTTTTATTTCAGCGCACATCTCTCTATTCTTTAATATCTCTTTTCTTTCATCCCTCCCCAGATATGGCTCATAGACAAGTTGAAGGTAATGGATTCTTGCCTGCATATTCAGCACGAGGCTATTTCTTTCTCCAACGGCTTAGTGGATTTCCCAAACAAGAAATGGTGGTGCTATTGGATGTGCAACAGGTCTGCTGTTGACATTGCTTAGCGTTGCCCTAGTTTGATCTGCCCGAGATGAGCCACAAACATAGCTCGACAACTCGACATTTAGTTGATTGGCTTGACACACTGCGTATTCTACTTTCTGTTTCGGTTCAGACGTCAGTTCAGACACAAGCAGACTTGCCCAGAAGAGGGGGTAGAGTACCCGGCTTCATTCCCAATCAGAGGTTCACAATTGGCTCGATATCCCACTACATGGAGACAAGGGAGCTTCTAGCTCCTGTCCCTAGTTTCAAACTGCGCACTTTCTGGTGAGTGCCTACCTTGCTTGAAGAAGAAGCACAGGCCGGGCCTACTTTAGCATCGGAAACTTCCACAAGCGCGAGGAGGGGACGCTGGAACACCAAGACTCATCTATGTCCCAAGTTTATTGCTTTGATCTAATTTTCAAGTTTTCTTTTGAATGTAATAAAAGCAACTTTGATTTGATATCAAGAGTTGGAGAACTTTGTATTAAAATCAATGAAATTGAAGTTATGAGCACTGAAAATTTTTATTTTTGTCCAAAAATGGTCTAAGTTGTAAAAAGATAAATTTGAACAAAATACAACTTTTATCAAAACTTTTCAAAACCATTTTCGATAAGGATCACAACTTGACACACATGGAATCTATCCTTGAGACATACAACCCTGAATCCAAAATGAAAAATTGCGCTTTTGTTTGAATGGCACTGATCACCACTGTAACCAGTTCCTCTCTCAAAGTAAGGATCACAACCGAACTTTCAAATAACGAACAGACAAAGATGCCTTAATCAACATATGGACACAGTTGATTTGGAGGTGTTTACGGTCGGACTTCAGGATGAAGTTGCTACATATCTCGAATATGGGAATCAGGCCTTACGTAGTTCGATTAGGGTTCACCCGATTATTGACGCTCTTCTTTTGCGCTCTAACTTTTGCCAAGTCCGCCCTTTTTGGGTTTTCAACCTTGCGAGTTCAATTTTTCTTTTTTCTATTTTTTTGTGCTCTAACTTTTGCCTAAGTCGCCCTTCCGGGTTTTCGCCTGGCGAGCTTCTCAGGGTTAGTATTTCTTCAACTTGTCCATGTTGATCGGTTGGGAAAATTCTAGGTCATCCAGGTCCATAGAATAACAGTGCTACCGCGGCCAATAGTTCTGATAATGTAAGGACCAGTCTAATTGGGTCTAAACTTGCCTCTAGGGTCATGGATGGTAGCTCGGTTGTCTTTCAGCACCAAATCCCCTTCTTTAAGATTCCGAGACTTACCTTTCTTGTTGAAAGCCCTGGAAATCCTGCGTTGATATCCTTGAACATGGGACAGTGCTTTCACCTTCTCTCATCAAACAGCATCAGTTCTTCGAACCTGCTTTGCTGCCAGTCCGCTTCTCGCTATCTTGCACTTAGCCATAACCCACAGGACGGAATCTCTATTTCAATCAGCAGAACAGCTTCCATTCCATAAACAAGAGAGTACGAAAGTCACCCAGTAGATGTCCAAATTGAAGTTCTGTAGCCCCAGAGAAAATGGCAATTTGTCTGGCCAGTCCCTGTAAGTCTCAACCATTTTCTGCAAAATGTGCTTGATGTTCTTGTTGGCGGCCTCAACAGCTCCGTTGGTTTTGCGGCCGCTATGTAGATGACTTATGAAAAAGCCACGTTGTATTTCTCCAATAAGTTGATCACTTCTTTCTTGAAATGGAGCCATTGTCTGAAATGATCTCATTCGAGACTCCATAACGGCAAATAATGTTGTTACGAATGAACTTAGCCACATGCGCTGCTTTAACACACTGCATAAGACTGAAATTCCACCCACTTCGTGAAATAATCAATTGCCACCAGAATGTACTCATGCCCCTTTGACCCTTTCAGTGTAACTGCCCAATGACGTCAATTCCCCAGACTGAGAAAAGCCATGGTGAAGTCATGTTGTATAGCTTCGACAGCAGGATATTCATGTGATTTGCATGGATTTGGCATTTGTGGCATCGCCGAACAAAACCAATACAATCCTTCTCCATGGTAGACCAGTAGTAACCTTGCTTGAAAATCTTCCGGGCTAGCATTACTTCTACTTATGGGTGCTCTAACACTCTCCCCCCTATGGATGGCCTCCATTAGGCGCTTTGATTCCTCTGCGTTAACACACAGCTTTGTGCATTCCCAGATGACCCCTCTTATTCAACTTACCAGATGATAAATTGAATGGCCATCAACCGTATTGTCCTTTATCTTTGGCATTTGCCCTTGGTGAATAAACCTCTTTTTTCAAGAAGTTCCAGATATCATAATACCAAGGGTTTTGATCTTGCACCTCATCTATTACGGCAATAGACTCATAGGCCGGCATATATCTCTATTCAATAATGATCGGACGCATCCGGACTCCAACGGGATGTCTATCATGGAAAAAATAAGGAG